GTTTCATTGCTCTACTGTGACAGAATTTCAGTTTGTGTTTCCTATAACACTTTTTAAGTAAGAACACCAGAAACCAAAAGTAATATCTAACTTGGTTTAATAAACCAACAATTGGTTTAAACACATAAATTACAATAACACATAAAGTGACAAAAATTAGGCAAAATATAATAATCAACAGAAATATGTTTAACAAAGTTCTCACAAGTCTAACAGGGCAGAAACACGAGTCCAAAAGAACCCCCCAACGTTTCGGCACCCGCTGGTTGCCTTTATCAAGGGCTTTCATAAACGCATCATGTACTGATTAAGATAATATTGTGCAAATGTGAATATTCATAGAACTGTTGTTCTGCCTTTTAAGGACTTTTTTAATCATTAACATGTGTAAAGCCTCTAGTTCACGTGTCAGGTTACTCTCCAGTGTTATCAGTGACATGACTTTCTTTACTGTGTAATGACAGGAGATCACGTGCAAAAATAGTGATTGCAAGGCTGTGTGCATTAATCTGCCATGCATTAAAATCTCTATGACAGCAAAATATTGCAATGAGTGCTAAAGTGGTTTGTATCTATTTGCGGGGCTCAGTAGGAACAAATTAAAATATTAGCCCAGTCAAGCTGGTCTGGGGAGAGTGTAAATCTACTCATAAGCAATACTAGAAATACTGCTTAGCGGTAATCAAGCATCAACTCATCAAGCATAATGTTGTATGGCAATTGTTATGGTGAAGTTGTCAGCTATTGACATGAGAAGAGAGTTTTCTTTTTTTCTGTGTGACAGTTCTTGACTTCTCACACTTTTGTGTTTAATAGCTGTTTAGTAGACTTATTGTAGTATTTATGATTTTTCCTGTTAAATAACTATGGCAGCATTAACTAATAGGTTCTCTGATGTTAGCATCCCTAACAGACCGTCTTTTTCCTGTTCTCTACTGTAGAAGGTGGTGTCCTGCTTTAGCAGACCAAGTTATTGCTTTATGTTCATCAGGTCACTTTTTGAAAAAGCCCAGCCAGAGACATTCAGCCTATCTCTTCACCGAGATCCTGTACACGCAGCCCTTTTAGTGAACAACTGTCTGACCTAAGCTCTCTCCTGAAGTAGTTGACAATGGTTTATGGTGTACCCAAGGAAGCCTCAAGTTAAAAAAGTTTAGATTGTAAGGTTTTGAAAAATGACCATCCCCTTTTCCCAGAGGAACATAGACCTGCCGCAAACTATCTGCATTTATCCCAGATGCTTAGTTTAGTTTTCTATCTCTATCTCTGAGTGTGTCAGTAATATAGATTAATGTCAAGTATAAGTATGTGGCTTTACAGTTAAGTCAGCTACTCCCGTTACTTAGTATGGTCTTCTTTGTATCAAATGGGCTAGATTTAAGAGATTATTGGTGAGCATCGTAAGTCTTAAATGTCCTGTGTCGGCATTCGTGGAGTTTAAGCTGTTGATGGATATACTGACTGTATGAGATCTGCCTGTATGTTGCAATCCAGCACATGTCCAGAAGTTATGATATTTTATTTGTCCTGCGTGATGCATAACCACCTAGCAAAGCTAGGAGTCAAATGCCAGAGCTGAAAAATGCTTGCGCTGTGCTCGTGCACAGCAACAGTGTTTCAGTCAATCAAGTAATCAGGAGATTACCTCAGATTTTTAAAATGGCATCATTGACGGAGTACTCCATATCTGTGTCTGCAACAGATATAATGGATGCCTCACCTAGAGGCAGTCCCATCAATGCTAGAAAGCTTCATATGAGAGCTTTCCTTGCCTGGGATCTATCCTCCTCATCTTCTGAACATTTAATTTCTGGTCGCTTTCAGCATGTAAACACGAGTGGATATGTGCAGGGCCGGACTGGCCCACCGGGATACCGGGAAATTTCCTGGTGGGCCCCGGCACCTGGGGGCTGCAAAACTCTAATTCACTATAGAGAGCGAGCCCTGCATCCGTTTTTAATAATATCGCAGCCGCTGTCTGCATGTTGTGAGGCCGGGTGGCCTGTCCGGCGGCACACTCTGAGGAGATTACTTACCTTAGTATGACTGCTGTCAGTATCAGTAAGTATGCCGGACGGCTGCCTAACCAGTTCAGCGGCACACTCACTGATTATTGCAGTATAGATGTCAGCACAGGAGGACTGAGGGAGGCGGCAGAGCTAACTACCATGCCCCCTCGCAGTTCCCACAATTCCCAGCATGGACACAACATAGAGTTTTGATTACTCTATGTTGTGTCCATGCTGGGAATTATGGGAACCGCGAGGGAGCATGGTAGTTAGCTCTGCCGCCTCCCTCAGTCCTCCTGTGACAAGGTCCTGTAACAGAGAGACACCAGGGAAGGGGGAGACAAAGACACAGAGGGGTAATAGAGATACACAGGGGAAGGGGGACAAAGACACAGGGGAAGGGGGGACAAAGAGACAGAGGGATAAGAGAGAGACACAGGGAGGAGAGGGGGAAGAGAGACACAGGGAGGAGAGGGGAGAAAGAGACACACAGAAGGTTTGTTGGGGGACAAAGAGACATACAGATGGGAAGGGGAACAACGTGACACACAAGGTTTGTAGGAGGCAAAGCTGGGCTGGGGGTAAAAAGAGACACAGAGTGGCTGGGAGAAGAGAAAGAGGCACACAAATGGGATTTGGAAGGGGAGAAAAAGACAAAGGGTCTGGGGCTAAGATATACACAAAAGGGGCTGAGGGAAAGAGACATACAGAGGCTGGAGAAGGGAAAAAAGAAACACACAGGGGCTGGGATGAAGTAAAAGATACACAAGGGGAGCTAAAGGAGAAAGGAGAAAATTGGACACAAGATACATTAAACGAGGTAAAAAAAAAAAAATCAAAGGAGGGAATAAGAAACACACAAAAAAAGGAAAGGAATTTATAAAGGCGTTAAACGAAACACAAGAGAAGATGCATTTTTTGTGTGTTTGGAGGGGGATGCATTTTCGCCTGTGTCTCCTGCTCTCCCTGTAACTCAGTTCTTCAGCATGGTAGTTTATGCAGAAGAGCTAATTGACAGGTGAGAGAAAGACCTCTTATGGAATAGATTTTCCTTCCAATATATGCATTTTGCTAGCAAACTTGCTAACACACTGTACAGATAGACGTAATTGATGTGATCCTGACAGTAATACACACATATATATATAAAAATATATATATGCATGTATATTAAAGTGTGTATTAGTAACATATATAATTATGCCTATAATATTTACACATATATTAATATACATTTATATATGCATAATACATACATGTCAATAATATATACATGTATGTAATAAGCACAATAACATTCAAAGTGAAGAGCGCACCCATAGGACTTCAAAATGAACAAGATAACTTCATTTCTTTTTCCCAGTTGTGCAACCGCATACATTCACCATTTCAGTCCCATTACTGAAATTTCCTTAATATGTCATTGTAGTTGTACTGAAACATTAATTACATGCAAATGTTCTTCTGTTTAAAATAAAGGCACTCTTTCGTTTATTTTGAAGCCCTATATGCTTTCTTTTGTTGGAGTAATAGTTTTCAATTTTAAGTGATCTTTTCCCCCCTTTATATCAGCACACTATGCTGGCGCAACACATTATTGGACTGGTATAGAATTTTTCCAGGGCTGCTTTTAGATCAGAGTCCAGCCTCGGATGTGGCATTTGTAGCTTGTCTATATCAAATAGAAAGTAATCTTTCTTATGGATACTATACTTCTCAGCGTGTTATGAGTATGCTCGCTGTGTATAGTCTGGCATTACAACCCCAATTAAGATTTCTTATTTCTGAAACCATTTCATTATACCAATCTTTAAAATAACTCTATAGTCACCCAGGCCACTTTATTTCAATGTAGTGGTCTGGGTGAGGGCCAATCCTAGGGCCACTGCCCCCTTGGTGATATAATATTTTTTGTTGCCTCCGAGGTGGGCAAGGCTATATTGCTAACCCCTCCCCTTCATAAACATGACACTTTTAACCACACCTATTTTCTATGGAAACCACTCCAACTTTTTGGGCCTCCCAACATCACCAGGTAGCATGTCACCCACTTCCTACAGTGCTAGCTTTGCCCCCAAAATGCTTCCCAGTGTCATTTCTGTCCCCATACAGCTACCGAGTGCCATCTGTATCCCAAAATAGCTCATTAGTGCCATCTTTGCATCAAATTAAATCAGTGACATCTTTGTGCCCAGATAGTTATTAGTGGCATCTTTGTGCCCAAATATCTTGTCAGTACCTGGGGCAAATCCAGAACCTAATCTCAGGAGGGGCACTGGTAGTGGGCTCTTGTGGGGTGATAGGGCCGGTAATTGAGGAGTTAAGGGCTGTAGTGAGGGACACGGGTGGTAGTGAGATGATAGGGGCTGCAGTGAGAGGTAGGGACTGTTGTAGGATAAGTTAAGGGCTGTAGTGGAGGGTATGGGATGTAATTGGGGGTTAGGAAATCTAGTCGGGGAATAGGGTGGAAGGGCTGATTCAGGAGATGGCTGCAATGGGATAAAGGGGCTGTGGAGTTGGGATATGGGCTGCAATTAGGAGAGAGGGGCTGTAGTGGGGAGGATAGGGACTGTAAAGGAGGGATAAAGACTGTGGTGGGAAATATAGCTACACTATTCAAATAGGATTCATATATATTTTATAATACTGAATGTGTCTTTTAGAAAAAAAAAATTTAGATATATTCTGTCTTTGTTATGGAAATATGAAACAAAATGTAATAGGATTCTGCTAATCATTCTACCCATTAGTAAAGTAATAGATGTCCAGGCACTCCTTGGTTCAAGACAGGCACTTTATTAGGAACCACAACAGCTGCCTGTCTTGAACCAAGGAGTGCCCTGGACCTCTGTTTGGAAATCTGGTGTTTGATTCCGGCTCAGCAAGCCCCCTGCCTCAGATTTGTGGGAGTGAGTGCAGTTCCACATATACTATTCAATCATTCTACCCAGACTGGGATAATAATCTCAACAATTTTAAATAAATCATGAGTATATATTGCCAAATAACTTTATAAAACAGTAACTTAGTAAATCACAGTACAAGATTGTTTATTTATGCCATTTGGAAATGCATAGAAAAATATGCAGGTACAATTTTCGATTATATTTGAACAAAATGTTTGACCTCTATGTACAGACAAAAAAAAAAAAAGTTAAACCGTCTCAAAATAAACAATTCTAGTGTGTCTTCTACACACACTCACGCTACACATATGTGGAATTAACAATGCAATTAAGCTAAGTTGGGAGAATTTTTCTGATCTAATTTACTAAAATTTGGACTCGCCTTCTCTACTTTCCACAATTACTGTTTTTCAGAAAATGCTAGATTGCCATATTTACTGTAAAAATTAGCAGAATGGAATTACAATAAGTGGATGTTCATCCTACAGGCAGTGTAGAGATTCCATGTTGTGGACACATTTCTTAGCAAAAAAAAACAAAAAAACGCATGATAATTTCATGCAGTGGAAAAGTATATACAATTACAAAATGCCACTGAATTGAATCATTTAAACAGTCTCTTCTGGTCAAGGAATATATCTAAATAAACAGATATGTAGATATACATATACTTTTTCCTCTGTAAATACAAAAGAAAGTTACTAGTTTGCAAAAAACTATTTATAAACAATGTAAATAGCTTATTCATAAGTGCCATGTGTATTCGGTAGTGATGTATAAGAAGAACAAGGTAAATTTCGTTCTTCTGTTTTTCACTGATGCGTCTCCTTGAAATCTTTCATGAAATCGGCCAGCTTCTGAACCTCTTCTATAGTTACAGCATTGTACAGAGATGCTCTGATACCTCCTACGGACCTAAAACACAGAAGTCATTTTTACAAAGGGTAAACTTGAAAATATAAACACCATATACTACAATTCAAAGGCAGCTGGCACTACTGTAGCAACAGACAAACTAGCACTGTCACCGTGAATTCTACAGATAGATACCCTTTAAATGACGTGCTAACAAGTGAATATAAATTGCAGATAAGTAAAATTCCTCAACAGAATCCAGGTAGATAAAAATAAACTAGTCTCACTTAGCCATAAAATGCAAACTTGTTAAACAAATAAAAGTAGAAAAATATTTGAGTTCTTTAATACTTTTTTCTAAATTTGGTCTTCTCTAAATATGCGGTTTTATAAAATAATGTTTTAGGTTTAAAATTCTATACACAAGTATAGAAGTTACCGTCAAACAGATGTGTGAATGAGAATAAACCAAATGAATACATTTATATGTATACTGCATGTATGTTATACAGTCTTAAAACAGGCATCTCAAACGTGCAGAATTTTAACACGTAGTATTTGAAATGATTATTAGGTTAACTAACATGACCTGGTTGATTTAATCTGGTTAACATTTTTTTTACACATCTATAACTAATTTGTATAACCAATAGCCATAGGACGTACAAGAACAGTTAACTATGTAATTGTTTGCTTGATTTTTACCTGTGTCCTTTAAGAGACATCATTCCAAGCTGAGCAGCTTTGTCGAGAAATTGTTTCTCTAAGACATTATCTCCTTTAGCACTTCCGATACGGAAAGGAATATTCATTCTGCTCCTGCTTTGTTTCTCCACAGGACACCTGCAAAGTAATAAAATGCACCTTCCTTTATTAGAAATACTGTGGACAGTTTACTAGGTTTTGCTGACAAAAAAAAAAAACAGCTACAACAAATTGTTCAAGTTCCATTGTGCGGAACAAAAGAAACATACTCAGCTTTGCTGTGGAAGTGGTATGCAATTAAATACATTAAAGGTCAGCAGTTGTGATAAGCCAACACATGAAGAATAACAAAGCAACTGTGTATAACTACAGCTCATTCCAATTATAAAAATAGATTTTCATTACACATTTAAGGTGTTATTATGACTATGACAACTAAAATGACCCTAAACCTAACTGCGCTATCATCTTTTTGATTATAAAAACTCTGGCCCTCCCATGCATGGGGCTCCAGGGAGCTAGTGCTTTCCTTCACATCAAAACAAGCAAAAAGCAACAGCCCTCGTTAATTTATAATTGTACTCTAAATATCTCCTACTATAAGTGTAACATCATATTTGTATATGCTCTCCAGGGCATACAAACATTAAGAAATCTCAATGTATCCTTCCTGGTGAACTATTTCATAAGAAATTCTAAATATCTGTTTCACATTGCAAAAATGTCAGGACAACTGCACCCAGACCTCTTCATTGAGATGGAGTGTTCTATGTGCCTTTAGTGATAATTCATGCCATTAGTCTCTTTCCTCTAACTACAGGCTTTAAAGTGTAGGTTCACACTTTCTATATAAAACACTCATTGAGACTGTCTGTAAGTGCCAATAATACAAAGGACACTTAAATAGTAATTTAAATATAAAAATGACAAGATATTAACATTCTCTGGACTGGGTTTGATGCAGAGATCTTTGCACTACGACAACCCTGGAATAAGACATGCATCCTAACATACAGCTCTCTCATACTCATATCTACAAATACTTGTTAAGTCCAACTTATTCTGCAATCCATGCATAGTAAAATTGAAGCTCAAATGGCAATACTCCATCAATATATTTTTCCTAAACAATCTAAATTTTCAAAATGGAGAACATTCTTTCCCATTGACTGCTTGGTTGAGGGTGGGGCAGACAAGGATTGCAGACACTCTACACAAAAAAAAAAATTAAATAAGAAAAATAAAAAAAGAGGTACAACTATTCAATTAATTGGCCACCATAAGCATTCCTCTGTTTGGTTAATTTCAAATTAGACATTTTTGTCTAATCATGTCTTATTATGCAAGACACAGATTGGAACCATAATATTGACATCCTCATCTCCCTTGCTCTCAGGTGAGCCAGTTTTGGAGAGACGTTTACGATTATTTGAACTCCACTACATCATTAATTTGAACCCAAAAATCTAGATGTTAGGCATTCTCCTTCACGCTCGCTCCAAATTTATACACACGGCCTTAGCTACTGCTGGGAAATAACTGGACTTTACCTAATGCCCCAAACTTAAACCTAATGAAAGTTAAACTTTGCCATGCCTTTCAAATGGACTGGATAGTATCCAAGTCACACAATGATAAGGTGAAGGGTTTGTCAGACCTGGCAAACTTATATAAACTCACTTGAGAGACAAAAGTGAAACCTTAATGAAACTATTCAACAATACTAACTGGGATCTAACAAGCATTATTGAGGGCAGGCCACCTATGACATACATGCTTTTTCCAGTAAGAGCAAGCTTGGGGGGATGGAAGTTTAGCAGACATTTAATTTGTTAAATTGAAGCAATAACATATGTCACTATGTCATAAACTCTGTATTGCATACTACTGCTTCAACATAAATGTTTATAATAAAAATACAATAGCAGAATGCTGAATACTCCATTCTGATTGGCCATAGAACACTAAAAAGAGATGAGTTTAAACACTGACAGGGCAAAAAAAAAAAAGTGCCTCTTTTCACAACAGACACAATAACATGCACTTACACAAATAATCCATTGGATTGATCAATAGCATCGTAAATCATTTCGGATTTGATGATGCTTAACTTTTCCATGGAGGCAGCCCCTCCATTATTTTTGATCCATTCTAACACCAGTCCCATTATGTAGATACTGTAACACACAATGATTCAGGTTATTAAAGAAACTCTTGAAAACATTTGTATACCGAACTCTGGCACTCTTGCTGTTAGACTACATTTATTATTGTCTCTTCAGCCAATGACTGCTATAAAGAAGAAATTATTACAACACTATGTAGTGCTAAAACTAGAATGCAGATCTAGGAATTATTAGAGAGAGAGAGAGAGAGAGAGAGAGAGAGAGAGAGAGAGAGAGAGAGAGAGAGAGAGAGAGAGAGAGAGAGAGAGAGACTGCAGACCATTTTCAATTGATTTTGAGTATAAGTTGTCTGCTGTTTTTAGAGGGTCCCTATTGGTTTGACAGTGTTTTGGATTCTATATTTGCGGTTTAGTGAATAAGCCTTCCAAGTTAAAATTAGATATAAAGACAAGGATAATATTTTGTTCAATTGCCGTTTTGTGTTACTACAGCATATTCTGTAAACATAAGACTGCCTTACAATGTCAGATTGCAAGGAAAAAAAATATTTCACTTATGCATTTTATATTCACACACACCAGTTGTTTAGAAGTGTGTATATATTTTATACTTTTGAAACACAAGTCTTTTGAGCAAAATAACCCTGCAAAAGGGTCTTATTATTCTAGGGTCAATAGTAAAAATATCATGACTTACAGCATTATTCACTAAAGAGAATGGTCAGGAATGCAAAGTGAATTCAAGATTTTAAGACAAATTAACCAAAAAAAAACAAAAAACGTCAGCTATTTAAAAATAAATATGAAATTCATGTTGAATTCCTTGTGATTCCGAATTTACTACTGCATATCCTAGTGTACTCTTTAGGCACACTCAATCTTTTTCTATTAAAATATGATGAACTAAATAAATGTTTTCACACGTACATTGAGAGAAATTAGTATTTTATCTACCTGAAACATGGTGGAGTGTTATACAAAGAAGCATTGCCAGCTTGAATATTGTAATCCAGAATTGTAGGGCATTCCTTCAGTGCATGGCCCATTAAATCTTCTCTCACTATCACAACCGTGACTCCAGCACAACCAACATTCTTTTGAGCTCCAGCAAAAATGACACCAAACTGTAAAATAGAAAGAAAAATCATTACTAAAAAACTACTTTCAACTTGATGGAAAATATAGACACCTCAAAATAACAATATAGAAAAAATATAGAACCACTTAATCAGGTCTGGAAGGATGACCTCTGCATTGGTCCTGTAACTTTAATAAAAGCCAGCAATAAGCATGTTACCAAGCCTCTAATATTAAAAATACAAATATCAATACAGTGTAGTGTTTTAGATGACCAGATAAGGTGTTGACATAAGGTTGTTGGCTGAAAGAATCCAACAGGTGTTCAGGTTAAAAAAAAAAAAAATTAGAAATCAGTCAGCTGTTCACATGATCCATATACTCATGAGCTGGTATGCTAAAATGAATGTGTAGAAGTATTGAAAATACCTCAAAGGGACACTCCAAACCCCAAAAGCACTTCAGATTGCGGAAGTGCGTCTTTTTTTCATCTTACAAAAGGAGCAAATTTCAATAAAAATTGGCACTAGTATAAATTAAAAGTACGCTATAGTCATCGTAACAGCTACAGCTTATTGTAGTTGTTCTGATGAGTATAGTCAGGCCCAGCAGGCTTTTTGCAGTTAACAGTTTTGTTTTCCCAGAGAAAAGGCAATGTTTACATTACAACCTAAGGATACCCCACTGACCACTCCTCAGTTGGTTACTGGGTGCTTCTTTGGACAGTGCTCTAGGAGGAAAGTTCAGTGTCTCATTGCAGAGGGTGGAGAATTTGCAATCGTAGCCAGGCCAATGCTTTCCTATGAGAAAGCATTGTTATTGGCCGAGATCACCACTTCAGATTATGTCAGTCAAGTAGGCAGATCAGAGGCAGAGCAAGCACCAGCAGACTGGAATAAAGGTAAGCTTTTACTATATTTAGGTGGGCAAACTGGGACAAGATAACACTAAGGTTAGAGACACATGTTTGTGTTTCTAACCCTATAGTGTTCCTTAAATCTTATTATAACACCCCTCACCCCTGGCTGTCAGGCATCTGGTCCTGTTACTTCCTGGTTGTACAGGCCAGTGGAACTAAATTTAAGAGGAAAGCAATTGCCCAGAGCACCTGCCTTAAAAACACTTCTCAAAATCTGATAGGACACCCATAGAAAGTCTGGAAAGAGATGAGAGCTTGCAAAGGCTGCAGACAAGAGATATGCAGCTTTTGAAAGACTTTACATCAACCCCAAATAAAAAAACAGAACGCAAACTTTACTGTCTATTGTCTTGCATTTTTTATTGATTATATTTGTACTTAACTTTTCTACTCTATGTTCAAAATAAATAATTAAAAACAAAAACGTTTGACCTGTGACAATTTATTTGTAGATTTATTATTTTAACCCCTTAAGGACACATGACATGTGTGACATGTCCTGATTCCCTTTTATTCCAGAAGTTTGGTCCTTAAGGGGATAAGTAAAGATTACTTTTTTTTTTTTTATAATTACTTTTTATTAATTTTGTGTTGATTCACGTAGATTTCATTTTAGTGATCGGTTGAAGTGTGGTAAAGCAGCAGATTATGGTTTCTGATAAAGACTTACTGAACAAAAATACGATAGTACTTTCTATTTAGTATTATACAATGGATATATTCCATACCTTGGTAATATCAATTGGTTTAGAAAGGAAGTTTGAGGACATGTCACAAACCAGCACAGCTCCCTTAACATCAGGGACAAACTGAAACTCCACCCCATGAACGGTCTCATTAGCACAGTAATATACATAAGATGCTTCTTGGTTCAGGTTCCAGCTGCTTGGATCAGGGATTGCTATAAGACATATTACGTGTGATAAAAATGTATTCTTACAAACTCACTGGTTTTACAAATATAATTAAGTTATATTTAGCATCATGAACAAAACCATTGTGCACATTTTCCATAAGTAGTCAGGCAAGATACAAAGCAGATAAGGTTTTATTTTTACAGGAGATCGATAATATAAAACATCTATCTATCTTAAACATACACTATTAACGTTTGATCTATTTCAGGATGTAAAGGGACACAGTGCAGGATTGTCCAGAAACATATAGGATTAGCACTTTATTCAAACAGAACACCAATAGGATTTACAGACTTACATTTATTTATTTTTATTACTGCTATTTATAAAGCGCCAACAGATTCCGCAGCGCTGTCAGGGCCGTCTTTAATAACGAATGGACCCTGGGCAAGTGTTTGCTTGGGCCCCCTGTGCCCTGCCGCTCTCGCCCCTCACTCCCTGGTATGCAATCACGGCATCCATCCCAACGCAGTGGCGGTACTAAAGTAGAATGAATTTTATTGGGACCCCCAATTGCAAGGTTGGACTAAAGGTGGAACCCCATCTGTCGTGCAACTCCAACAATGCTTTGACAGCTGGGACTCTACCAATTTCCCATACTTGCAGGGTTGTATTTAGCACTGAGCCATGTTAGTATGTTTGAATGTAAGCATGTGTTTGTATGGAGTATGTTTGTGTGAATGTGTTTGTATGTGGTACTGGAGTTTGAATGCAAGTGTGCATTTATGTGTAGTGTTTGTTTTTTGAATGTAGGAGTGTGCTTGTATGTAGTGTTGACGTTTCAATGCAGGAGTGTGTTTTATATGTAGTGTTGAAGTTTGAATGGAGGGGTGTATTTGTATTTAAAGTTGCGGCTCAGATGCACAGGTACACACTCTGACGCACAAGCAGATACACAGATACATACACTGACTACATACAGATAAACAGGCACATACACTGACAGACACACTGACACAGGTACATATATTGGCACACACACAGACACATACACTGGTAGACGTACTGACAGACATACTGACACAGGCACATATACAGACATACTGACACACAGACACATATACCGACATACTGACACACACAGACACATACACTGATCAACATACTGACACACATACACTGACAGAAATACTGACACCCACACACTGACAGAAATACTGACACCCACACACTGACAGATATACTGACACCCACATACACTGAGAAATACTGACATACACACACAGGCACATACACTGATCAACATACTGACACACATACACTGACAGAAATACTGACACCCACACACTGACAGATATACTGACACCCACATACACTGAGAAATACTGACACACACACACAGGCACATACACTGACACACACAGACTGATATACTGACACACACACACAGACACACCGGCACACAGACAGATATACTGACACATGCACACAGGTACACATGACACTATACAGACATACTGCACACAGACAGATATACTGACACATGCATACACATGCACTAACAGACATACTGATGCACTGGCTAGACATACTGACACATACACATACTGACACACACAGATATACTGGACACACAGACAGACAGACTGACACACACACACAGACATGCTACACACACACTAACACACAGATACACCAACACACACACACACACACTAACACACACACACTAACACACACACACACACAAACAAACACACACATACACACACATACACACACAAACAAACACTAACACAAACATACACTAACACACAAACATACACTAACACACAAACATACACTAACACACAAACATACACTAACACACAAACACTAACACACACATACACTAACACACTAACACACATACACTAACACACTAACACACTAACACACTAACACACTAACACACTAACACACTAACACACTAACACACTAACACACTAACACACTAACACACTAACACTAACACACAAACTAACACACACATACACTAACACACACATACACTAACACACACATACACTAACACACACAAACACACACATACACATACACACACTAACACACACACACACACATATTTTATTTTTTAAATAATCCCCCAGCCTCCCTACCTTTGGAGTTGGGACCCCTGGGGTCCAGTGGTGCTGCTGGGCCTCTGGGCGGGTGGTTTGTCGTGTATAGGAAGGCCGAGGGAGCACTCACTGCTTCCTTCAGCTCCCTCGCTGATAGCGCCGAAGAGACGCCATCTTCTCCTGCTCCGGCATCAGTGCGGTGCGCGAGGGAGCTGAAGAGGAAGCAGTGAGTGCTCCCTCGCGCGCCCGCCTTCCTGCCCGACCGGCCACCCGCCCGGGTCAGCGGGGCCCACGGGGCAGGTGCCTCGGGCCCCCCAAGAGAAACTGGGCCCGGGGCAGCTGCCCCGTTTGCCCCGCGTTAAAGACGGCCCTGAGCGCTGTACAATTAGTGGAAAAACGTACAATATACACAGACAAATACAAGAGGTAAAGAGAGCCCTGCCCGTAAGCTGATATCTAGCCATTGGAGCTCTTTTATACAAAGTGCTTGGCTAGATGGCCTGTGAGCTTGCAATCTAAAGGATACCATGGGGATTTGAGACAAGAGGTAGCAGGGGAAGTTTGGAGGTGATGGCTGAGAGTTAACAGAGAAGCAGCTATTATACAAAGGGAATGAAGAGGTAATTGGGTGAGAATCTCAAACAGCTGGAGGAGCATGCTATATATTTAGGGGGAGAGAAAAAAATGCAGTCTTTCACTGAGTTGAGTGTGAAGTGAGGCCTGAAGAAACAGAAACTTACAGGAACAAACATGTATTCCTGACCCTATAGTGCTAAGCCCACCATTTATGCGGCTTGCCCTCCTTAAAGGGAATTAGAACTCACCTTATTTCCAGCACCGTGCTGACCCTGCCCCCTTGGTGACATCAGAACTGACGATTTTTAGCCAATCCAATGCTTTCCAATTCCTTAAAGGTAACTAATTCCTTTTAAGTAGCTGTTTTATCTCTCTTACTTGACTCTACCCACCCACCCTGGTTCCTTCTAACTATATAGCTTGCTCTTCCAACTGTTTGGAACCACAGTCAATCACCTCCTCATTCCCTTCACATGCAATCAGCTGCTGCAGTTATACTATTAACTCTCGTTGCTACTTCTTGTCTCATCTCCTCAGTTTAACCTTTAGATTGTAAGCTCATGGGCAGGGCCCTCTCTCTACCTGTTATATCGTCTGTTTCTATTGTGTAGTCTTTCCCAATTGTACAGGGCTGGGGAATATGTTGGTGCTTTATAAATTAAGCTGTAGTTGTTCTGGTGACTACAGTGTCCCTTTAAAACAATAAAGGCCAACTGAGATATTTACAATGTATTAACTTGTGTAAATATGCACACTACATTAATATTATATTAGTGCATATACCTACGTTCAATTTGAGATGTGCCTCATACAAACAAAACAATTTCTTGCCTTTAGGAGACATTAACTAGTATGTACCGACTTATTCCTGCTTGTTAGTCCTTTAAAGGGTTATTCCATAAATTGCAAATCCCAAGAATAAAAAATACATTTCACATTACAGGCCAAAATAGGCAAATTAAAAACATAGCTGACTCAGAGAATGATTACAATTTGGTTATTTTAGCCTAAAAGTATAAACTCACTTCGAATTCCCCACAATCACACTTCAGTAAATAACCCTGTAAACCTTAATATATTTTGTGGATAAGGCAGAAATTAAGACATAACTGTATTACTGTGACATATTTCACAACCACCCTCCTAACATTACTTAACCCCTTAAGGGCGGAAGCAATTGTACTAGTTGTGACCAAAACAAAATCTAGAATTTGAGCTATGTCTGTTCAACCATAATTTACTTAGTGTGTAACCACACTTATTACATATTATGTTGTTCAGGAGAAACAGGGCTTTTACACACAAACACACACTCTCCCTCCTTTTTAAGTTCTGCTATCAATTTAACTGTGAATGTCATAATACCGTTGGCTTTTACTGCAATAAAACACATACTTGTATGCTCTGCTACAGGGTCAAGTAGAGAGCTTGCCCATTTCCGTTTTTACACATTGAATTTTGCCAGACTGGTTTGCTGGGCCTATGTTGCCTTTGAGATCATATGGCAGCACAGGAATGAGAATTACCCTTATCATGGCATACCATTTGCAAAAGTAGACAAACCAGGGTATTCAAAATGGGGTATTCCAGTCTTTTTTGTAACCACTTCACAACGTCACAAATCCTGGTCAAAGTTATTGTTTATATTTGTTTTTGGCATTGTTCAAACAAAAACTACACTTTCACTGATGATATCCTTCTACGTTTTACTGCTCTAAAACACTCATTTGTGTTCAGTGAATTCTCACGAGGACTTGGAAATTAAATTCACTGGGTGGTCAGGCAGGCCCCTCAAAAAATTATTAATGAAGTAATATAATTATACATAAAACACATATGTATTGTATTTACCGTTTGTACAGTTTTTGTACATGTTATGCTCATTTCTGTTGACCATTCTCAACACTGACTGAATATAATTTTTATGTAACATTAATGGACATGCACATTTTAAATGTTACATATTTTTTCCTTTTAATTTGGCTTATGATTTTTAGCATTAGTTTACACTTTTCACTGTTTTACATACATGCACACACTCAGAACATAGACACTGCTAATACTTTTAGTTCACATATATCAATTGCAAATAACAGTTAGAACTACTTATAGTGAAATATGCAATATTTGTGTGGTGTAGATGGGATTACTCCCTGGAATAGCTCTTGAAAAGTCTGACTTGTATGGCTGTTTTCCTATCAGTTATATTTTTTAGGGAGTGATTTGTTATGTACATATACATACAGCGAAATTCATTACAATACAATTTAATGTTGCAGATCACTTACCTGTATAGCTCCCAAGCTTTGGGTGAACAATATTTACTTTTCCGTACTTTTCCGCTTCTTTGGCTGCCTTCGCTGACCAAGCTCCAGTAACTATATAGTCAGCACATCGGGCTTCTTTTAGACCAATCAGGTTAAGAGGAACAGCACTAAACTGGCCACTCCCACCTCCTTGGAGGAAAAGCACCTTGTAGTTCTGTGGAATGTCCCTGGGAAAGTAACATGTGTTGCACCGTTATATACAAGTACAGCATATTACATGGTTTACATATAAACATTGTGTCGCTGAATGTTACTTCACAAGGGGACACTTTGGACACCAATGCAACTTTAGTGCATTTGATAGAATTTGGCTTCATTAATACACAATTTATTGATTTATTTAAATACTTATATTGATTGCAAAAATTAAGAGAGAAAATAAGTATAAGTGGAGTGCCAAATAAAACTGCTGAGAGAAAATGGTAATACAATAGAAAACCTAACTATCTATTAAATTAAATACATGAGAAGAATTATGAAATACCCTTAATCTCTCACTATGTAACTAATTACAAAGAAACTGATTTAAGGAGTTAGGCTTCACAGTAAAATGTACTCTATTCTGGAGATAATGCTCCAGAATAGAGTACATTTTACTGTGAAGCCTGACTCCTTAAGTCAGTTTCTTTGTAGTTAGTTACATAGTGAGAGATTAAGGGTATTTCGTAATTCTTCTCATGACTGAAAAAATTAAACAAACATTTTACAAAATACAACACCATAAGCCTGCCTCCTAAGCCTTACCCTGATCAAATGTATGTACACAGTCTCAGCCCTAACAGTGAGCTGTTTTTAATTCCCAACCTGGCTGCAGACAAGTCAGAGAAACTAGAGCCAGGTAGGGATATCCTTATGATATGTCTTTCCTCATGCCGTCTGTTTTGCAGTTCAGATCATTCAGTACTGTCAGTGACTGGAGGTGAGTGAGGGGTTGTGGCTAGCGAGGCAGACTTATGGTGCAGCATTCTACAAAACATTTTTTTTTTTTTTAAGAAAAAAAAACCTATAAATATTTCGGCAAGCAAACAAATACAGCATATTAATAAGGCCAATACCTATCAAGCGAATTAAAGTAGTATTGGTGAGTGAAGTGTTCCTTTAATGTTGCCAACACACTAAACACTAACAAGAACAAAACAGACTTACAGCAACTCACGTAACAAGACCTCAGTTGTGTTCAAAATCTTAGTGAAATCCGATGATCTGTGGCTCATTTCTGTAGAAACAAAATATTAAAAAAAGAAACAGTTTTAGAATTGATACAACCTTGTGTCAACCTAGTGATATAATATAGCCTGGCATGATAGTACACACCCAAAACACTGATACCAAGTCCTTTATAATCAATGAGTTCCTTCTGTGATTCCAGTAAAACCTACAATGAATGTGAAAAACAGACTAGATTAACACCATTGAAGTTAATAAATGCACAATGCAACTTTTGGTATAGGTTAAGTTTTCTTTACACAAGTTAGTTCCTTAAAGGGACACCCACTGCCCAAATTATTTAAAGGGAAAAAAAAAAAAAAAAAAAAAAAAAAAAAACCCACATACATTTAGTATATATACCCACAATAAAAGCATGCATGCATTTAATTATACATTTTTTCCACTTGAGGAATGTGTAAAAACTGCTTTCAAAAGCTGCAGATATATTGTCTGAAACCTTTGCGAGCTCTAACCCAGACCAGACTGTGTGTGGAGGTCCCCTCACAGACTTCTCAATGCAAGAAAAAGTATTTCCAAGGCAAGTACTCTGGGCAATTGCTGCCTCTTGAATTTAGATCTACTGAGCTAAGTAACCAGGAAGTAACCAGACCAGTTGTCTGACAGCCAGTGTTTGCAACAAGGTACATCTATAAACGGGCAGATTTCTATTAAAAATCTACACTTTTTATACAATGCGGAAAATAAAAGAGGCCAAACGCTTCACACATAAGCACTCCAGCGAGCTGGAATGTCCCTTTAATACCAAAATCTTCATCCTTTAAATGCCATGGTAATTCATCATGTAAAACTTCAGGTTGTCATGGAGGAACATAGGGTCCTAACTGACACTAGACAATAGACTTGTGCACAAATTATTTACAGCTCACGCAAATGACAAATAAATCCCAAAATACAACACTGATGTCTATGGAGGATTCAGCAAGAACCTCTATTGGACAAAGTCTACTTCCACCAACAACAAGTGACAGCCGAGGACCTGACAAGTTTACTTGTCGTATGAGATTGACTGAGTTGGAATTTCAATTACATTTTCAACACAGTCAGTTATGTATTTCATAAAGATTTTGTCTTCCTAAAATCTATTTTTAGGGAGACAAGAGCTGCTTTACGTTTGTATATACACTCTCTGTTTGTACATTTTTTTTTAGGTCCATTTTAAAATGGTTCATTATGGTCATTCTGCTTTTGCTCCTCTTTTTGCGAATCCACTGGGCAAATAGTATCAAGGAAGCATTTTCCACACATCATTGAACCCGTTATGCTATTTACACAAATGCTTTTTTTTTTGCCGCAGGCTGCACACAGAGTCAGTGAACCCAAAACAAACTCAGCATCAGATGTGAAGTTTGGGATTATAGCTGACAGTCCAAAAGTATTGTAGGCAGTCTGAAATGTTGCCAAGGTAGTAACTCCTCCTCCTCCCTGTGGTTGGCCAAAAGACTGCAGCTGATGTAATTTCTCTCTGCATTGAGTTTCATCTCCGCCAGAATAACAAGACACTATTGTCTGTGTAAAGAGGCCAGCATTTCAGCACTGCTTGACAAAAAGCTTTTCTTTTATTCTGAACTGAACGTGGGGATTGCCCTGGCAGTAATTCCCACCCTACCATAATATGCCATTTACCTTCATCCCATTAAAAACTCTACTGTATGCCCTGGCAACCTCTGCAGCAATTCTCTGAACACACAATCTGAATGCCACATAAAAGAATGGGTAATCATGTCAACATTTCTGAAAAGGAAAATATTGATTTGTCAAGACAATAAAATGCTTTTGTACAAATTACAATATCTCATGGCCCCTACCTTAGATTTGGAGTAGTCTGCTAATTCAATGAATAATACATTTCAACAAATCTGAAGTCACATATCACAATGTAAACCAGAAAATTAAAACAGCATTAATTATGCATTTGGGAACAATATAATCTTGCTAGGTGTATCATCTCAATTGTTTACTTTCATTTTATCACTTGATAATGGTAATGCGGCACGGGGAGATGGGTGGAGTGGACTCTTTTAATAAGAATCATGTTTATTTACCTTAGGTTATTCAGAACTATGACACCCTAACATAAATAATTTTATTTTGCGAAAAATTAAATAACATTAGCCCTAAGGTAAAATAAAAAGAGTATATTTTGCTAAATGCACCTTTTATTTTGTAACATTAGAGGCTATGAACCACTGCTTGCACGGACATACACGATTAGGAATCACACTTTGATTCTGAACTGATCAGTAATGTTCATTCTAATCGATGCACAAATAAGGGGCACAATGCTTAATTTATGTTTAGACTGGTTTAAGCAACCTTTATTAGCTGTGGATGAGCAAGAAGGGATTTTTGCTTCAGCATATTTCAACTCCCATTATGCTTGACAAGGCGTGTCTGACTTGGCATGAAGGTATTGCAGTCCCTATGTGCAAGATCCAGATCTAATTTTTTTATTAAATACTGCTTCCGATGTGCTGGAGTGCAACTACAACTCCCATCATGCTCTGTAACTAAAGAGCCAACTGAGCATATGCATTTTCCTACAGCTGCAGATGACTGCGACTTCAATTGTGCTTTGCTACTGAAAGACTGCCAACCCCTGTAACCATGCAAGAATGATGCTCGTTTAAATCTACTGCGATAAAACTGCATGTTTTGCCAAGTAATGCACGTACTGTAAATACCACAGAGCCCAAAAGACTTGAGATTATTACTCTCCTGCTAAACATAACCAGAGTCCCATTTTAGCCCCAATTATCACAGGATAATATACATTTTAGTAACACACAGATTGTTACATAAACCTGCATGGTAGATTCTGCCACCCACCACCCTACCCCGATTATTAAAGCAAATTGTGATACGACACTTACCGATGGGGGAAGCTTGGCTGGACCAGCACCAAAATTTATCACTTGCCTTTCCATGTCCATATTGCGCTCTGGTGTTAATATTGAGGGTTAATGATGTGCAGAGTATTTACGGGGAGTGCAGTTTATGGATGGAATGTATACAGGGTGGGTGTGTGTTGATGGAATGCTGTGGAGCTCAGGGTTCTGGACCGTATACTGCAGCTTCAGAACCCCTACATCCCAATCTCACCATAAATAAATTGCAGCCGGCCCGCTCGCCATTGGCCAATTTCCCATGCTGATTTTTACTGCTGCCTTTTCATTGGTCGATGACGGTTTTTTAATATTCTCATTGGTCGGGTGTCCACGAGCCTAGTGCGTGATCACCGTGTATCGATGCAAGTCTGATTTGAGATTGCACCATCCAGCAACAAACCAACATGTGGAAGGGGCGTGTAATGGAGGGTGACTGTTTAGGTATGGGTGTCAACAAACACCGAATTCAGGCTGTAACAATGTACTAGCTGCAGAATGTGGTTGGTATTACCTCACGGTACAAACCCTCTCCAGCTGCAAAGGTGAGATTGGTTGTATAACTAGAAATGAAGAAGTAATAAAGCGTTGAAGGGAATTCAAAACTGGCAATTGTGCACAAGTGCCAAGAGAATTGCAAATTTTATACTAATAAAGCTCAAGATAATTATGGATATTTTTCCTAAAGGAAGGCTCCAGACACTTACATTACTTTGGATGGCTTAAGTGCAAATAGTGTGTCCTCTTTAAAAAAAAAAAAAAAAAGTGCAGTTTTCAATAAACTCGTCCTGTCACTTACTGTTTTTTTAGCTCAGTGGAACTATACCCAATGGTAGGCAATTGCTCAGAGCACCTGCCTTGCAAAGACATCTCATTGAGCTGCATTAGGAAGTCTGTGATTGGACAGTCACAGAAAGTCTGGGCTTGCTAAGGTTGTAGACAAAAGATCTGCAGATTTTGCAAACAGGTTTTAGATTTACATGTTACGAAAGAACTCTACTACAAGCTTGCTTGAGACTTGGTTCGGTCTATTTGACTGCACTAAACTGAAAATAATAACAACACACTCAGTTAACGCTAGTATCAAAAGCTGCCACAACTAAGGCAAACCATTTCCCAAAATATCTATGCAATTAAAAATACTAATAAATTGGTCTCTTCAAGTAACATGAGAGGCAGAACTTAACCACTTAAGGACCACGTGACAGTCTATGCCGTCATGCTTTGCAGGGCTTTAATGCCCAGTGATGGCATAGACCGTCATGCACTAAAGGTAACAGCAGGGGTTTAATCCCTGCTGGCACTAAGGACCTCCAGGTATCTTTTTAATTCCTGGCGTTCCCCTGTTCCAGCTGGGGTCTCAGTTAGTCTCAGAGAGTCCATCTGATTGGTGCAATGCAGCATTTTACCACATATGCACACTAGACTCCTATTGTTTTCTTATAGTAAAGTGTGTTGGATTCACTGAGGAGAGCTTGAGCGAGCAGACAGGCACAGAAAGAGAAAAAAATGTAAGTAAAATACCTCTTGTAACCTTTTAATTGGCAGCCCAGACACATTAAAATGGTGAGTAGGCCACTTTAGAATTGGGAATACATATTTGTATTCCTAACACTTTTGTGTTCCTTTAAAGGAACACTCTACTTCAAAAATATTTTAAAAAAAATAAATGTAATTATTAATTTGTTTAATGGTGGCATATCTAAAACGGTTTGCAAAAGTTGCATGTCTCTTGGCTGAAGCCTTTGCAAGCCCTCCCCTTTTCCCAGCCCAGGCTTTCTGTAGCTGTCCAATCACAGACTTCCAATGCGCTATATGAGAACTTTGCAAGGCAGGTGCTGTGAGCATTTGCCTGCCTCTTGTGTTTAGCTCCACTGAGCTAAAAAACAAAACACAAGAAATAACAGGACCAGATGTGTATCTGAGTGTTTGAAGGGTTGTAACAAGAGGGTTGTAACAAGGTTCATTTATCAACATACCAATTTATATTGAAATAAGTATTTTTTGCAAAATGAAAAAAGAGGGCACACTCCACACATCAAACTGACATGCTTTATGGGTCTGGAGTGTACCTTTAACCTCTTAAGGACCAAACTTCTGGAGTAAAAGGGAATCATGACATGTCACACATGTCATGTGTCCTTAAGGGGTTAATAAACTGTTGATTGAATACACTATTGCAGTTGTTTTTCATATTGAAACAAGGGATGCTAGTTGCCTTATAACGGAAGAGGACTGTATGGATATATTTGGAAGGAATCAGAGTGACTGGAGTGTGACTATTAGAACGTTTTCATCCTTCCCGGAGTGCAGTTCTATTTATTGTATTTTATGTTTGACCATTGTTTGTGGATAGGTTGAGTGGTAAAAACCTATCAACATCTTGCTGCACCCATATTTTATTTTATTTGTTTATTAATATTGTTATTTGTTTTTAAAGAAACAATATTCCCATCCATTTATTTATGTATTTAAAAACTTTATTCCCATCTTTTTTTTTTTTTTTTTCAAGAAACATTATTCTTATTATTTTTTTTTCGAGAAAATATATTTGGTGCTACCAACCTTTATTCTATATTATTTTGCCAATATTGTTGGAAGAAGTGGAACAATAAATACAAACACAAGTAGAACAAAAAGACAAACATATGCGCTGTTTACTATGCATTTGCCAGTTTTGTTGGAAGAAGTGGAAAAGCAAATCCAGAGAGAGATAGAGCAAAAAGCAAACATATATTCATTATCAATATAAACACTGGCAAAACCGTTACAATGATCTTTGGAGCTGTACCTAAATTATGTAAACTACAAAATCAACATTTGTGTATCAGAACAAATTCAAATAACACAGTGACATTTTAAATACTAGGTATGTTGCTAGACCCCAATCTATCCTTTGGCCTTCAGATTGAAAAAATCCCTTCAAAACTTGACCCAAAACTAGGTGCTCTGTACAGAAACAAATCCTGCCTAAGCCCTACAGTAAGGACACAGATAGTGCAACAAATGCTAATGCCGGTCATTGATTATGGGGATGTAGTGTATTCACCCCCACCGCAAACCCACCTTAATAAACTTTATACATTATATAATTTGTTCTGCTGCTTTGTACTAGAATGTAATTACTTTACCCACCACTGTGCTATGCTAAAAGAGCTTAACTGGCTGTTGCTGGAATCCCGACGCACTCTTCATCTTTCCATCCTTGTGCATAAGAGCATTTCTGGGAAGCTCCCACCCTACCCGAGTAGAATGCTCTCCCTGGTTGTTCCCACCTTCTATAACCTCCGATCCAGTAGTAGCACGATATTTAGCACACCGCAATACAAGAATAAAGTGGCTCGATCCCCACTTTCCTACAGAACACAGCAATTATGGAATAACCTCAGGGACACAGTCAAATCTTCATTCATTCTAAAATCTTTTAAGAGATCTATGGCAGTATACCTCAGCACAGAATGCACCTGTCATGGTTGAATATATTTATTACCTGTTATGTATTAAATTTATATATGTGTGTATAGTATATCGTTTGTATATTGTATTTTTGTAATATTGTATCCTATTGTAACAATGCAATGTTTTGTGGACAAAGACCCAGGACATACTTGAAAACGAGAGAAATCTCAATGTATCCATCCTGGTTAAATATTTTATAAATAAATGTCTGTATGTCATTACGTATTTTCCTACCAGTCACTGTTGGATTTTTTAACTGAACTCTATTCAACAAGTTTAATTTTTGTCTTGAATTTCTGTAATCTATTACTGATTTGCACTTTATTGTCACTTACAACTGAATGACCAAAAATATTGGTTTGTGATTAAAGAATGGATCACCTCTTGCTGCTATGCTTTGAAGGGTGACCTTCACTTATGTCTTACTCCATTCCTGAATAATGATGTCTTTGTGGGATGGACCAGAAATGTTTTTTCTCTGGAATCCTCAGAGTTTCTCTAATGAGGTGGATTATTTTGTCTACTGATTCCAACCTTTCCTCCTCCTCTGAGAAATGCTGAAACTACATCTGATTCAGACAAAGTCGCCTCTCTTCTGGTAGACTTAGATGAAACTATTTTATTTTTTTTAATTTCTATCTAAAGTCTTCTGTTTTGGTAATCAACATTTTTAGATCCTCATGAACTTCAGTAACTTTAGCTAAGCACTTCATTCACACGTTTTTTTCCCCCTTCTGGCACAATTGCAGCCCATCTAGTGGTTGGATTTATCTCAATGTTTTCTAGTACACTTGTCTCGGGTTTTACTAGGGATGTAACAATAAGAGGCCATACATGATTAGGCAGTTGTGATGATTTGCCACTTTGGTTCTGCTAAGAGAAATCTTTTTGCTAGATTTCCTTTTCTAAGACTAATCTTGACTAATGATAAGAAGAGAAGAGAGGAAAAAAAAAATTCAGTAAAGAAAAAGTTGCTAAATACAAAAATAACAGAAGTCAGATGTCAAAAAACACTTGAAAACCCACATACTCAAAAATCATAAAAACCAACAAACAAATACACACATATACAGCAACTAAGACGAGATAATAACCTGGAAGAGGCAATGAAAATATATGGGACAGCACACTGGGGCAGGGCATAATGTTATCAAGAATTCGAGCTGTTTAAAATTTCCCTGGTAAAAAAAGAGTGTACAAGGTCATCTCCCCTTTAAATCCAGAGCACAAAAGACACATGCTATGTAAACTGAGAAGCACCCAAGCTCTACTGTGCATGCTCAAATGTGTGAGATCAGAAGAGCTCTTAGTAACCGGTGCCCCAATGATGCGGAGCGAACCGAATGCTAATCTTAACAGAAGGGGATTAAAGAGGAGCTGAAAAAAAAAAATAGGGAAAGCAGACCTCAGTTATTACACCTACACAGTCCGGCATTCTCTAGTGAGTTAGAATGCACTGGATGATCCCAGCATGCACTTTGATGGAGCATTTACTGAGGTCTACATCAGACGCTCACAGATCTAAGACCACCAGGCAGAGTTAACCCCTGCTGAACCACCTGGGAATATGACCCCTCTCCCATTGGACCACCAGGGTTAACGCACACACATCAAATGCAGCCAGCATACACCACACATATTACAAGCAGCCAGCGCACAACACACACACACACACACACACACACACACACACAACATTGACTTAGGAAGGCTCAACTTGATGGACGCAAGTCTCTTTTCAACTATGTAACATACAGCCAGCATACATCACATACAGCTAACACACATCATATACAGACAGCATACATAAAACAATTGCAACC